TGAAAAATAATTTAATATATACTGAAACACAAAAGTGAGAACTATAAATGATCTAGAAGAAAAAGTAGAAGGTATCTTTGCAACCATCGGGAAAGGAAAGATTTCTTAGACAAAATCCAAAAGGAAAAATTTAAATCTTTGGTTTAACAAATGATACAACCAAGAAAATGAACAGGCAACCTACAGACTAGAAGAAGCTGTTTCTAAAACTATAATAAAGAACTCTTGGGGCCAAGATAGCTCAGCAGGTAAAAGTACTAGCTGGCAAGCCTGACAACCTGATTTCAATTCTCAAGACCCACATGATGAAAGGAGAGAAATGACTCTCACAATTTGTCCCTTGGCCTCCACATGTGTCATGACATACACATGCCCACATGCATAAACATACAAATACACACATAAAATGATGTAATAAAGTATTATTAAATAGCTTCTCAATTACAGTTAGTTAGTTAGTTAGTTAGTTAGTTAGTTAGTTAGTTAGTTAGTTATGGAGGGCATACATGTAGAGATCAGAGGACAACTTACAGGAGTTAGTTCTTTCTCCTTCTATCCACCTGGGTCCCAGAGATTGAACTCAGTTTATCAGGTTTGGTGGCAAGTTCCCTTACCACTGAACCATCTCACCAACCCCATAAAGACTTCTCATAATTCATTAATAGACAAATAAATCAAGTTATAAAAGAAAGACAATATGCTGGGCATGATGGTGCACACCTTTAAGCCCAGCACTCAGGAAGCAGAGGCACACAGATCTCTATGAGATCTAGGCTAGCCTGGTCTACAATAGTGAGTTTCAAGGCAGCTGAGGCTACAGAAAGACCCTGTCTCAAAACAACAACAAAGTTTAAATAAAGATTTAGACATGCTTCATAAAATAAAATATGCCAAGAGCCAATGGACTCATTAAAAAGTACTCATTAGTCATCAGGAAAATACAAGTTAAAATACAAATGAACACCCGGCAAGTAGAGGCAGGAAAATGGTGAATACAAAGTCAGCCTGTGCTATGCAGCAAAATCCTGTCTCCAAAAACAAAAAGCACAAGCTGGGGATATAACTCAGTAGTAGGGCACTTGCTTAGCATGCACAAAGCACTGGCCAATCAATCTCCAGTACCACAAAAACAACAAGGAAACCAAAATGAGTCACTGCTACACACCCAGTAGGATAGATAAAATGAAAAAGATTGGCCGGGTATGGTGGCACAGACCTTCAGTCCCAGCACTCGGGAGGCAGAGACAGGCTGATCTCTGTAAGTTCAAGGCCAATCTGGTCTACATAACGAGTTCCAGGTCAGCTGGGACTACAGGGAGACCCTGTCTCAAAAAGAAAAAGACTGACAACACCAAATGTTCTTAAGGCTATGGAGCAACTGGAGTGCTCATACATTGCCCGTGGTAATAATTACTCTGGGAAATTGTTTCACTTTGCTAAGAAGTTAAAATATATCTACACTATGACCAAACATTGAAAAATATGTCCATAAAATGATTTATGAAAAATATTTGTAGAAGCTTTATACATAATAGATAAAAACTAGAAACATCCCAAGTTTCTATCAAAGAGATAATGGATTTCAAAAACTGTGGTATGTTATTACAATGAATTATATCTCTCAGCAAAAAAAGAGCAATGAACTTTTGGTACACGTAAGTAAGCGATATCGCAAAATCATGATACTTGGCATATTTGCACGGAATATCAAAGGAGTGTACCCATCTGGGGAGGTGTCCCACTGCACAAATCAGAACCCAAAGAGCATGCATACTGGGAAAGGGCCTGACAGAGAGGGTTAGAGCCCAAGAAAGATGAGGAGGCTGTATCTGTACAAGGTGGCAGTGGAGATAACATATTAGGGAACTGAGTAATAAGTTAAGGATAATAAAAGCCATTGAGGTGGGTTTATTTATTTTATATTTTTGGAGCAGAGAAGTATATACTTAGGGAAAAAATCACTAGGATTGGATCAAAATTTGGAAAACCATTGTAAACTTATTTACAATATACATAGAACTAAAGATGTAAATGTGGGCCTACATGTATTGTATTACGTATTTACATGCACCTGTACCCTAGTTTTGTCCACAAAAATTGCCCAAGAATAGCAAAAGCAATAGCAATGAGCCTGCCTAGAGCTAAATGCTAGCTTCCAAATATCACATTTTCTTCTCCTTTGAGATAGGGTCTCACATAGCTCAGGCTGGCCTTAAACTCCTGATCCTCCTACCTCTACCTCCCAAGTGTTGGCAGTGCTGGCACTACAAGTATAAGCCACCATATCTAACTAAAATTAAGGCTCTTAGGTGGGTGATCAATGTTGACAAAGGAAAGCTCAGGATAATCCCAGAATATTTTGTTGTTTCAGAAAACAAGTTAGCATTCAAGAAAGATGTGGTTAAGACTAAAAAAGATGTAAACTGCTTCATTTCTGGTCAAAATGAGAACTGTTTAGCATTCTGTCAATTGGATTCTCAAAAAAAAAAAGACATTAAGATGGAGTGAGAAGAAAACTTAACAAAGGTTTGTTCGAGGGGGTGGGGAGGGTGTGTGTGTGTGTGTGTGTGTGTGTGTGTGTAAACTAGAATTAGGCAGGAAAAGCTTTGCAATACAAATCCAACATTTAATGGGGGGGACCTCCCCAGTACTTCAGAGGTTGAGGTAGGATCACCATAAGTTCAAGGCCAAATGGGCTATAGGGTAGGTACCAGATCAGGCCAGGCTACAGAATGAAATCCTAGTTCAAAAAAATTAGAGAAGTAGGATTGGGCAGGGACAGTCTCAGACAGCAATGGATATCTGACATTCTGCAGATACATCAAAGAGTTTGTTTTGGCTCTGCCACATAATCCTGACAACCCACACTGGGTTACTCTGCTGCCAGCCAAGAAACATTAAAGTCCCCCTGAAACCAGGAGAGAAAATAAATCCTTCATCCCTTAAGTTATTCTGTAAGATACTGTCCTAGTTACTTTCTACTGCTGTAATAAAAACACTGACCAAAACCAACTTGGGGAGAAAAGGGTTTGTTTTATCTTATCTCTCAGGTCATAGATCATCACTGAGAAAAGTCAGGGCAGGAACCTGAAAAGCAAGAGCTGAAGCACAGAAGATGGAGGAACACTGCTTATTGGCTTGCTCTTTGGGCTGCGCTCAACCTACTTTTTTTTTTTTTTTTTTGGTTTTTTTGAGAAAGGGTCTCCCTTTTGCCCCAGCTATCCTGGAACTCACTATGTAGACCAGGCTGGCCTTGAACTCACAGAGATCCACCTGCCTCTGCCTCCTGAGTGCTGGGATTAAAGGCGTGTGTTACCACGCCTGGCTCAGCCTGCTTTCTTAAAAAACCCAGGACTTTCTGCCTAGTGGTGGTACTGCCCACTATCAATCAGCAGTGGTAGGCCTTCCTTCCCACATCACTCAGCAATTAAGAAAATGCCCCACAGACATGGCCTCAGGCCAATCAAATAGAAGAATTTTCTCAATTGAGGGTCCCTCTACCCAGGTGTGTCAAGTTGACAAACTGAAGCTATCCAACAGAGTTATTTTGTCAGTGACAAGGAAAGTAACTAATACATTGGCCTACAGTATTGGAGATGGGCCCATAAAATCCAGACTTAGGAACTTCCAAACTAAAAGAAACTGGCTGCAAGAACCACTGACTATGTAATTCCTACTAAAAAAAAAAAAAAAAAAAAAACTGGTAGAACTTAAAGTGGCCTGAGGATTACATGGTGATGATGTGACAATGTTAGTTTGCTAACATTTAAAAAAATATTTTATTATTTTATGTGTATGAGTGAGTATATTGCCTGCATGTAAGTGCACCCATGTCATGCAAAGGCCACAGAGGCCAGAAGAGGGTGTCAGATCCTCAGGAACTAGAGGTTATAGATGTTAACCACCATGTAGGGGCTGGGAATCTATATCTAACCAGACTAAAGAAAGGGAAATTTGGGCTGGAGAGATGACCTAGTTAAGAGCATTTGTTGTTCTTACAGGAGACCTGGATCCCATTCCCAGCACTCAATGGCAGCTTACAACTGTCTATAACTCTAGTTCCAGGGGATCTGACCCCCTCTTCTGGTTTCCACGGGTACCAGGCATGCAAACACTCACACATATAAAATAAAATCTTTTTTAAAAAAGGGAAAACCAAGCCAGGCATGATGGCACACACCTTTAGTTCTAGCACTCAGGAGGCAGAGGCAGGCAGATCTCTGAGTTCAAGGCCAGCCTGGTCTGCATAGTGAGCTCCAGTCCAGCTAGGGCTACAGAGAGACCCTGTTTCAAAAAAAGACCCAAAAAGGGTGGCACACAACTTTAATCCCAGCACTACGGAGGCAGAGGCAGACAGATCGCTGGTCTACATAATGAGTTCTAGACCAGCTGGGGCTACAGGGACACACTGTCTCAAAAAACAGGGGCAGGGGGGGGGGGGGAAGCATGGTGGCACACGCCTTTAATCCCAGCACTCCAGAGGCAGAGGCAAGTGGATCACTGTGAGTTCAAGGCTAGCCTGGTCACTATAATGAGTTCCAGGCCAGCTGGAGGGACCCTGTCTAAAAAACACCAAAAAAAGGGGGGGGGAGGGGACAGAGAACAAAGACTCTAGCCTGAGTGCCTTACTCTTAAGATTACATTTATAATTTCAACAAACTTCCTCCAGCAAGTCAAATGTATAAGCTGAAGGTAACTCTATAAGCAACTTCAAAAATTTTTAACAAAATCCAGAATAGGAATCATATATATCCTTAGAGAATTCCCTTTTCCTAATAACGGTTAGGAACACTGACTGTTCTTGCAGAAGACTCGGGTTTGAATCCCAGCACCCACATGGCAGCCAACAACTGTCCTTAACTTCAGTTCCAGGGGATCCAACAGCCTCTTCTGTCTTCCACGGGCATTGCACCACACAGGTGCACTTACCTACATGCAGGCAATATAAGCATACACATAAAATAAAAATAAATGAAAATTTTTTTTAAATGAAAACATACGTGCAATTTTTCTTTTAGCCAAAAATTTTGCTCTGTTTGACTGTTTTGTCTTCATTTTCTGCAATCCAGTCTCCTCTTTCTGTTCCTGTTACAAAACAAGAAGTATGATCAGGGCAAATACCATTAAAGGTAGTAATTCTTCTATTTTTTCCTGTATCTCCTTATGGGTTAATGGAGGCTTCTTTATTATTAGTGATTGTTATAAATTTGCAAATAAGACATGAAAAGAAGGTTCTTTCTTTCAATTCGAAAGGAAAGCAAGCCAAGATCTAGAACCAATAAATCTATAAAAATAAAAATGTATAATACACTGATAATGATTATCACATACACACAGACATAAAAACTGACTAGTCTCGCTGCTGGGCATGGTGGTGCACGCCTTTAACCCCAGCACTTGGGAGGCAGAGGCAGGCAGAGGGTATCTGTGAGTTCAAGGCCAGCCTGGTTACATAGGGAGTTCCAGGACAGCTGGGTCTACAGGGAGACCCTGTCTCAGAAAGACCAAAAAAAAAAAAAAACAACCAAACTGACTAGTCTCCAAAATACTAGTAGACATCCACCAAAAATAAGAGAAGCTTGATTCAATAAATGTTTGAATTCAGTATATATTCATTTATTTTAAATTGTTCCTTGGCTACTGATTAAAGAAAGGAAAAAAAATTATTCTGCAGAAAAAAATGAGAACCAAATATACCAATCCTACTCCACCTCAAAACTTAATAAGTAGCACTGAAGAAAAATCAAACAATAATCAAGACAACAAAAAAATAAAGTAATTTTTTAAATGAGCTGAGGAGGCTGGAGATGACTCAGCAGTTAAGAGCACTGGCTGCTCAGGGCTGGAGAGATGGCTCAGCAGTTAAGAACACTGGTTGTTCTTGCAGAAGACCCGGATTCAAATCCCAACATCCACATGGCAGCTAACAACTGTCTGTAACTCCAGTCCCAGGGGATCTGACAGCCTCTTCTGACCTCTGCAGGCACTGCACAAAGGCAATACATGCAAACACAAAAAAAAAAAAAAAAAAAAAAAAATAAAAAAAAAAAAAAAAAGAGCACTGGATGCTCTACTAGAGGACCTGAATTCAGTTCCCAGCACCCACACGGTAGCTAGCAACTGTCAGTAACTCCAGTTCCAGGGAATCTGACACCCTCTTCTGACCTCCACGGGCAGTACATGACACAAGTGCACTTACACGCATGCAGGCAAAACACTCATACACATAAAAAATAAACTATTTTTTAAATGAGCTGAGAGAACATGAGAACATGAAGAGATGATCTAACATATGAATGGTGGGGGTTTCTAAAGAAGAAAACAGAGCAAACCAATATTAAATAGCCCAAGAAATTTTTCTGGTGGGAAGAGGGATGAGGAACAATAAAAATATCTATCATTCTCTAAGAAAATGGATCTTGAACAGCAAATTCCCAGACATATCCTAGACTAACCGCTAAAAAAACTACAATGTCCTAAAGCATTCAGACTGGCAAACAGACCTAATAACTGACCCTTAGAAAGGATAATCAGTAGACATTCTAAATGCAGCATACAAATGCAAAAATATAAAAGGCAGTATTTTAAGCAAGTATAAGGAAAAAACCTTTTAAACAAAGAGTTTTGTATCTAGTTCAGAGATTCAGGTAGTCTCAGACTATCGAAAAACAGCAGTAAACAGGTATGAACTCAGAAAATACTAATAACATCTTGACAAATCTAGTGAATGAGTATCATTCAATCAAAAGATCACAGAAACAATGGAAAAAGAACTGACAGTAAATAATATATTTAATCTTAGAGCTAAAAATAAAAGTAGGGACAAAATACGAGGGCCAGTGAGATGGTTCAGCCAGCAAAGCCCTTGTCAAGCAAGCCTGACAAGCTGTTTGATCCCTGGAATTCATATAAGGTGAAAGGAAAGAATTGACTCCACAAAGTTGTCCCGTAACCTCCACACATACTCTATGGCACGTGTACATCCACCTATGCACACCATACTCTCACACATAAACAATAATAAAAAATAAAAATATGTATGAAAGAGACCAGGCATGGTAGTGAGTTCCTTTAATCCTGTTACTTGGAAGGCAGAGAAAGGCCTATCTCTCAGTTCAAGGCTAGGCTAGTCTACAAAGTGAATTCCAGACCTGTCAAGGGTTATAGTGAGACCATCTCTTTTTAAAAAAGAAATATATATGAGAAAAATATATTGATGTAGGCAGGTGTGGTGGCACATGCCTTTAGTCCTAGCACTCATGAGGCAGACGCACACAGATCTCCGTAAGATCAAAGCCAGCCTGCTCTACACAGTGAATGCCAGGCCAGCTGGGGCTACAGGGAGACCCTGTCTCAAAAAACAAACAAGCCCAGTATTGAAAGGCAGCATACATATATTACACATATATTAAAGATATATTCTCTATATTCTAATAACATAGAAATTATGCTATTAATAAATGAGAAGACAAAACCACAAAGTGAAATAAATTGACTACTGCATAAGTTGTAAGTAAAAGTCAACTAATAGCAATCAACACTAAAAAATCAGGTGGAGAGATGGCTCAGCAGTTAAAAGCAGTGGCTGTTCTTGCATAGGTCCTGGATTCGATTTCCAACACCCACATGGTGGATAACAACTGTCTGTATGTAATTACAGTTCCAGGGGAATCCAACACCCTCTTCTGACCTCCACAGGCATTTCACAACACAGGTGCACTTATACACATGCAGGCAATACACTTATACACATAAAATAAAAATAATAAATAGAATTTTTAAAAAAACTGAAAAACCAGAGGCTGGAGAGAGAGCTCAGTGGCTGCTCTTGCATGGGACCTGAGTTTGGTTCCCAGCACCCATATGGTAGCTAACAACTGTCCTTAACTCCCCAGTTTCAGGGGACTATGATGCCCTCTTCTGGCCTCTGCAGGCACTGCACAACATAGGTACGCTTACATACATGCAAGCAAAACACCCATACATATAAAATTTAAAAAATAATAAATTTTTAAAAACTTAAAAACAAGATAATAGGCTAAATAAGAGAATAAAAGGAATTATGAAAATCATACCATAAGAAAATCATTAAACATATATATATATACATCAGGTCTGGAGAGATGTCTCAGCAGTTAAGAGCACTGACTGTTCTTGCAGAAGACCCAGGTTAGATTTCCAGCACCCACGTGGCAGTTGCAAACCATCCTTAACTCCAGTTCCAGGGGAATCCGACGCCCTCTTCTGACCTCTGCAGTATTGCATGACACAGGTGCACTCACATACATGCAGGCAATACACTCATACACATAAAATAAAAATAAAATTTTTAAAAAAAGAAAAGAGAATAAAAGGAATTATGAAAATCATACTATAAGGAAATCATTAAACACATATTTATCCATACACACACTTTCTAAATTACCAAAAGATACAAAGAAAATAGCCAACATTATAGCAAAAGAAATAACACATAAAGAATCTAACAAGATGCAACCTGAGGCTATTATACATAAGAGACTTGCCGGGCGTGGTGGTTCACACCTGTAGTCTCAGCACTTGGGAGGCAGAAGCAGGTGGATCTCTGTAAGTTCAAGGCCAGGCTCGTCTACATAGTGAGTTCCAGGACAGCTCGGACTACAGGGAGACCCTGTCTCAAAAAGACCAAAAAAAAAAATAGAGAGAGAGAGAGACTCATCAGCGATCTACAATTATTGACAAGAAAAGTTCTGGAAGATAAGTGACTGACTGAATCTGAATCTCTCTGCACTCCTTCCAGAAAACCCCAAGATCAATAAGGACCACAAATAATACCACATACGACCAATATTTTGCATATTATTAGAACATACCACAAACTTTAAATAATACACAGGTAGGGAACAAGCAAATTCTATCAATATCCCCACTGCTACTCTAAGCCATGAACAAAGAATAATCACAAAAAAGGATTAAAAGACTTTAAGAATATTAAGATAGTGAAGAACTTACACCATGGACAAAAATCATCTCTAGAAAGCCCAAAATTAAAGTCAAACCCTGAGCACAGGTGCATTTCGCATGTCATATGATCAGGTACAATAAATAACCTTGAGAGTAAGAGGAACCAGAAGCAGTGCAGTCATGGTGATATAGTTTGAACGTAAATACCCCACCCCACCATAGGCTCACATATTTGAACACTTGGTCCCTAGCTGTTGGCACTGTTTGGGAGGGTTGTAGACCCTTTATAAGGTAAATCCTTGCAGAAGGGTGTGGGTTGCTGAGGGTGGTTTGAGACTTTAATAGTCTGACCCCACTTCCTGTTCACATTCTGAGAGTAGATGCAGTGTGAACAGTTATCTTGCTCCTGCCACCATGCAGTCCTTGCCTTCTGCCATGCCATCTCCACTATAATGGACTATATTCCTCTGGAACTATAAGCCAAAATTAAACCCTTTCTGCCTTAAGTTGCTTTTGCCAGGGCATTTTGTCACAGCAACTGTATTAGTCACTTTTCTGTTGCTGTGATAGAAACACTGACCCAAGCAATTTATAGACAGAAGAGTTTATTTGAGCTAACAGTTCCAAGGGAATTACAGTCAGTCATGTCAGAGAGGTATGGTGGCTGGAGGTGGCTACAGCAGGAACAGCAGAAGTGAAGCTCTCACATCATCATGCAGGCACAGGAAACAAGAGAACAACTGGAGATCCTGCAAGGCTTAAGAGTTCTCTAAGCCTACCCCCAGTGATGTGCTTCCTCCAGGATAGCCACACCTTCTAAGACCTCCCCAAACAGCATCATCATCTGGGGACAAAATGTCCAAATACTTGGAGCCTATGAGGACATTTTCATTCAAACCACCACAGCAACATAAAAGTAACCAAGACAGAAACTGGTACTGAGAACTGAGGTCATTGCTTTGCTAAACCTGTCCTTGTGGTTCTTAGGCCTTTGGAACTGGTTTGGGAGAATAATGTGGAAGAGTTTCAAACTTTGGGTTGGAAAAGTCCATAAATACGTTGGAAGCAAAACTTAATGGACCATTTTGGTGGGCGCCTACAAGACAAAAATGCTGAGAAAAGCATGGACAGAAGGGGCTCAG